TTCCATCATCAGTAAGTCCTCCAACATATCTAATAAAATCTGTCCTCATTGAATCGAAATACGAAGAGCATATTTGACTCAAGGCTTTCACATCATCATCTGTAGTTAGTCTACATGCAGCTTCCTTTACTGACTTCTCTTCAAGAGTGTGGTGGTGGTATACAGCCTCTAACAACTCCAGTAGTTGCTGCGAAGTAGGAGCATCTTCTGGATAAAGGTACAGTCTTGAACATAAGCGAAAACTTCTTGAGGCAGTTTGTTGAGGCCAGATAACTGACAAGGTTCGTGCAGTCTTGATCTGTAACATCGCCCTCTATTGATAATGACAACAGGTGAGATAGGTCTGGCCATGCCTGGGGTATTGTAAAAAGGGAAAGTTCATGAAGATGGAGAAGACAACTCCACTTAGCAAACAACATGGTAAAATTAGTTCTTGGCAAATTTACAAGCATATCAGCTCCAAGTTGGACAATTTTTCCAACACCATTTGATTCTACTGCACCATTAGCAAGTAGTTTTATCTTCTCCTTAGAAACAATGCTGGTTCCTGTAAGAGACAAAACCCACTGGCACTGGCTGTGGGATATACAGTAACCGAGAGAGTAGTAGTCCATTGGCATCATTTGACTCTTTTTGGCCTTGAATTCTACTTTGCACTCTTCTAGGAGTAGGGAAATAGCAGTCTGACTCTGAGCCTCGAACAACCAGTTGACAACATCAACATCCACTGAAATGTTACAGGGTGTTGAATATTTACTACTCACAGGTGTTGAAGGAGACTTTACAATGTATTTTACAGTTTCTTGAGTAAAACAATCCAAATTGCGTAGGCCAGCAAGAAACCTTAGCACTACTTTTAACCTGCCTTCTTTCTTACCGCCATCGGTCTTACTCTTCTTAAAGTATTGCAGCTGTTGTTCTCCAGGCATAGTAGAGATGTGAACTGCAGCAAAGAATTCCTGGAATGTGAGATGAAGAAAGTTGTGAGATGAAGAAGTTTGTCCAGTCACATAGAGCTCAGTGACTGAGTCCATCAACCCAAGATTGTCAAAGTTTGGTGGCAGTTCAGACTCGCTGAATATGACTTTGACCTCTTCATCTGAACCAATAATTCCTGTATAGGCCAACTCACACATACTAACAAAGTTTTTGTGCACCTCTTTCGAAACAGAGAGATTAATTATACCAGGGATAATAAGTGTGCCCCCCTCATTCTGCTTTGTATTAGCACGCTTCAGATGTCGTCTTATCAATATCTCTACATAGCAACTGTAGAGTTCGGTGAGGGTACAAGGCAATTTGTCATGATCACGTTGAAAACCTTCCTTATATACAGCCACGACAATAGCACTGTTCAGAGGAATGTACATGCCACATCTAATTTGAGGATGTCTCTCCAGGTAAGAATTAAGATCGTTCACCTGCTCTTTTGGGACAGTTTCTTTGATATACTCTTTGATCTGACAGTTGGTAAATCCTAAGACCTCAATGTGCTGATGCATGCGACAATCTTCCTTCTCACGAATCTCTTTTGTAGCCCAAGGTCGACTGGTGACGAGGACGGTAGACAAAGGCAGCAACTTTCCTGATATCAGCTCGTTGAAAACAGATAAAGGATCATTGCGACAGCTATCAGGGAGCTCGTCATAGCCTTCAAGAATGATGAGCACATGTGAAGTTAGAAGCTCATGGCATACACCGGAAGCCACATCTTTTTCTGGGTGATATAAAAGGTCTTCTAAATATTTAGCTTTTCTGATTCTTTCATCTCTAAGCCTGAGCAGGAGCACTAGGTGGTACTGCTGAGCTACCTTACCCAACATCCATCTGCGACAAAACTCCCACGCAAATGTTGACTTACCAGCACCTGGAGCCCCCTCCACAAGTATCAACCTTTTATCGGTTACCTGCTGGGCACATGCTTCAGCAGTTGATGGGAGGGAAATCCCTTTCGCTATTGCACTGAACTTAATAGGTCCCTTTGTTTCTTGTATGACATCAACATTGCCATCATGAACCATAGCTTTTGTTACATTCTCATATTCCTTACTTTTAACACATTTCCTGTCAATGCAGGCGAGGTTAATGTATTTGACTGTGGGAGAAAGAGACCACTTTTCATCCTTCACAACAACTTGAGCACTGTATGTTTGCTTCACAAAATCTATGAATTTATTAACGATAGGTGGAATACCAGCTGTTGCTTCACTGGCAGGATAAGAGGGACTAAGGGTTGAATTATTTCTTGGTCTTTTGGCAGCCGGAGAATAAGTAGGAAGTACAGACGGTGTTGATTCAAGAATTTGTTTTGTATAACGTTCCTGAGAATGTTTTCTCTCCTCTTTTTCTCGTTTTCTCTTTCTTTTACGTCTGTCAGTAAAGTGCTCAGTGGGGAAATGCTGCTGTAGTTCCATGTTTTGAGGATAAACACTACTTGAACCTCTGTCAGAAGACAGGTCACTCACTGGGTGTGACTGGGATGAAGAGCAAGGGATGTACTGGGACTCAATCTGACTAGCTAGGACCTGTTCATGAACTGCAGCAGATCTGAGGGCACTCACTATGTCATGCCATTTCAACAGTGGTAGCTGCCTTAAACGATACTCAAGAACCTTGTACAGTTTCTCATCGAAATCATAGAGGCTCTTCTCAATTCCTGCCAGAACATGGTGCTCTATATTTATCTTGCTCCCAAATAAAATGCACTTATGTGCAATTGGTGTGAGAGCATCTTGTACCATCGACAAATCATTTATCGTTAACTGCTGCGTACCAGGTGCTCTATAATTTGAAGCCATTTCTGCCACAGGAGAAATACTTAGGTGGTCTAGGGAGTGTAAAGCACCCTTGGAAACAGGAGCGGAGGAGGCATTTACATGACATTGTTGAAGGAAGTGCTGACGCTGCATGTCCACCAAAAGATTACTAGGGTCAATGGTAGTAGACAAGTCACTCACTGGCTGAGATGAAGAGCAAGGGATGTACTGGGACTCAATCTGACTAGCTAGGTCCTGTTCATTAACAGAAGGAGATCTGAGGGCTCTCACTATATCATGCCATGTCAACATTGGAGCCTGCTGCAAGCGATATTCAAGCACTCTGGACAGTTTCTCATCAAAAGTATAGTAACCCTTAGAAATACCTGCCAGCACATCGTGCTCAACCTTGACTTCGGTTCCGAAAACACAAAATTTGTGTGCAACGGATTTCAGAATATCTCTCAATAGTGGCAAATGCTTAACTTTTAACCGTCCTTTTTTCTTCCGTTTTTCTGTTACTCTTTTCCTTTTATGCAGGCGTTCAGAGGGAACATGCCGTCGGTACATTTTTTGAAGATAAACACCGGTACTTGAGCCTCTGTCAGAAAAGTGAGCATGCACTACCTCCGACTGGGATGAGGAGCAAGGGATGCTAGTACTTGAAGTCATTACTGTGAAGAAAAGTTTTAAAAAAATTGGTTGAAAACAAGATGGAAAAAAATGAGGCCCTCTATAATAGGTGGCCACAAGCCCTGACAAAGTGGATCACAGTTATTTTTTGTATGCAATGGGCACTGCACATACTGCAATGTTCTATGGAATTCTAAATACGCACGAAAAATTGAACGTCGTTCTATATACATGAACAGCTCACACTCGCTCGCTGAAAATGTGTGGCATTCATTTATTATCTAATGGCGGCATTCACATACAGTAATGTTTACTCATGCAAATGTACATGACAAATGATGTGTTGCTTTTGGTATTAGTTAATGTACCCGCGCGAGTGCGCCTCGTGCTTTATTAGCCTCTCTACGCATTCCTCGTACGTTATATCCGGTAGTGCACGAGCATAAGCGGGTACATTAACTGATTTAGTGTGAAAATACGGAGCGTTTGAAAAGCGAAGCGGAAAAATGGCGGTTCAGTCAGCGTGGGCGATGCTACGAAGCGTTTGACTTGGGCATGGGAGACTGGACGGACGAGCAGGAGGAAACGTCGGTACAGCCTCCTCCTCCCAAGAAAAGGCTATGTCTCTCTCTTGGCAAGGAAGCGCGCCCTCTGCGAGACACCACAAATCTCCGTTTTGCTGAGCCCGTGAGTACTGCGGAGCTAGAGAACGCAGCCGAAGGGCCCTCCTCTTCTACCGAGTCGGTTCCGTCTGACCTGTTGATGAGCCACGATAGAGATTTGATGTATGCCGTTTCGTGCATTTCGCATTTCCAACTGATCTGTCAGTCACTCTCTGCATTTGTATAGTACATATAGTACATCAAACAGTGTTGTCTAAACTATGAGCACTGGAGGAAAGCACTGCCTGAACAATGCAGCAGTGCTCAATATGGCAAATAAGGCACTCCTTTTCCTTTGATGTTTTGTGACAGAGTACACTAATTCTTTAAAGTGAGTTTGAGCAGATAAAGTTACAAGTGGGAAATAATTTGAAAGGGGATGTAGGGATGACACATCATAAAAAAGATGGGAACAAGAAGATGCCTACACTGAGACAGGAAGTGATTCATAACCCCATCCCTACATCTTTGTTTCATACTAGCTTAAGCAGTTTAGCTATGTATACTCATGTATTCATAACGTATGAGCGATTTCTCGAGTGGAGAGGCAAGTACGGTGCTTTGGAGACTATCACAAGATAAATTATGGGCCTGTCTGTGATTTTGGCTTAGTTTTCATGCTAGCCATTCTCCGTTTTGTAGGCGGATCACATGAGATTTCACTCATGCCATCCATACATAGAGCGTTTACCGACGCTATGATGTTTATGCCAAGATCCTGAAGGTACTGTGGCGACCCTCTGCCTATGCTAGCAGATCTCTACAACCACATTACGGGTCACAGAGCTGGAGGGGCTTGGCGTTGTTCGGAGCGGTCAACCACTCTTGCCCCTCACTTGTACGGCCATCGGTGTGAAGTCTACGCAGATAACTCTGCATTGACATAACTGCTAAGTACACTGCAACCATGGGGAATAGCGATTCAAGAACTTGACAGGCAGATAGGATTTGCTGGGGCACAGCAAAGCCCAATGTGGATGCCCTGTTAAAGTCAGCTCTGCCGACAGGAGAGAACTCGAGCATGGTGACACAGAAGGAGTGTTTTTAAACCTGGAGAAGAGACTGAGCCAGAGACAGACCTACCTTGAGCTAGCGCACAGACAAAGATCTGGCTGGTGTCTTAAGAGGTCACAGTACGGTCTGGAAGATGTTCTGTACAAGATCGACCAAGACAGCACCATGCGAGTGATTGAACCCAGGGATCGGAGGGAACGACTGTTCAAGGATACCCACGGAGGAATGTTTGGAGCACACTTAAGTGACACAAAAGTCAACTGAGAATTCTACCGTCATTACTAGTCGAGTGGGATGCGCAGAGACATACGATATTTAACAGTGCATGGAGGCAGTGCGAGGGTGGTGGGATGAGAAAAGTAAGCAAGCAGGTGTGAGCATGCACTGGCACGAATGCAGCGCAAACCTGGTGCGCATGTGCCAAGTACAGGCCACGTGCGGGTGGCTACACATTGAGGCCCAGGTTGTGTGCATTGGTGCACACTGCTGCTAGTGGCAAAAAACTTTGGTTTGGCAAAGCTCCATATTTCGTACGGAGGATTGGACAGCCCGGGGACGTAGCTCTGCTCACAGGAGAAGTGGCAGCGGCAGTGGCCTCGGTGTTGGAGAATAAATCCATACGAGTGCGCCGATTTCATCAGGTGAGCGCTTGAATAGTGGCTGTGGAGTTTCGTGTGTAAAGCCAGCTTTTGATTACTTTGTCCTAAAGTTTAGGAACGAGCTAAAACCTGTTGTCTGTGCCTTTAAAGCTGCCCAATTGTTCTTGCCTCACAAAGTAAATGATCTACGTCCTGATTCATCATCTGTGGACAGCTTGAAAGCTTTCCCTTTCTATCAGGACAACACTCTTCTCGACAACTTGAAGGTTGAGCTTCCATGCTATCTCTCCAGTGTTGTTGATCTATCCTTTAGACTGGTGGAAACGCCATTCTGAAACACTACCGCATTGGTCAGCTGCTGCCTCAACCGTACTACTCGTTGAACCCTCTTCAGCAGCAGTGGAGCGTTTTTTTTCGCTACTTAAGTCCTCTTTTGGAGATCAACAAAAAACCACACTTCAGGACTATATTGAAACATCACTCATGCTGCAGTTTAATGGACATTAACTGTTTTATTGTGTTTTGTATATACAGTGGGTCCCGGTTAATATCATACCCGCGGTGCATCCAAAAAATATGATAATATGCGGAATATGTAATAGTAGTAGCACGCCTACCAGGTGTCTTCCACGTATATGCGCGAAGTAATATTGCGTAAACCCGAGGGCGTAGCCCGAGGGATTATGCAATATTACTGAGCGCATACACGTGGAAGGCCCGCCAGTAGGCGTGCTACTGGTAGCTTGTACACTGGAGAACCGCGCGCGTGTCTGAGCGTCTGACAGCGTCGTCTCGTCCCATCTGATCTGAGCGGAACGTCCGACAGCGTCGTCGTCATGGAGGACCAGGACTTACGCTCTCCAAAAAAGAGAAGGAAGCCTGGTGGATGGGCCCGGCGTGCAGGTCACGCGGGAGCTCCTGCGCACCCTCGCCGCCAGCGTCCTAGTTGGAGGAAGACTCTTGTTGCCTCGATTCTCCTGAAAGCCGCTTTCGTACTATATATGTCCGAGGAAGAAATAGCGAAATAGCTGAGATTTCAAAGGTTTTCGTTCCAAGTAACACCGCCAAAAACACCCAATGGGCTGTACAGAGTGGCGAAGCGCTCGGAACTCCGCGGGAGGCGCTGAACGACTCTGTCCCGTCGATTGGGAAGAAGTGTGAAAAGCAACAGGTAATATCACTCATATTACCTGATACTTTTCACACCTGCAGTCATATTACCTGTTACTTTTCACACCTCTTGAGGCTACTCCACTAATACACTCAGCAATTTTCCATTGTTCTGAGGCCTAGCCAATGTACAATCTATAATGCGGGCGCGTATACTGTGTATACTCTGGGTGTGTATACTGTGAGCTAAGCTAATGAAGCTAGGCTAGCCTAGCTGTTTACATAAGCTAATGGCAGCCAGGTGGAGAATGGAGAGTTGCAAAACTCCAGCCCAAGGTTGTAGAATGCCTAATTACGCATGTGCAATAATGACAATTATGCGGGCAAAAACCAAAAATGCTCAATTTTTCTATGATAATAGGCGGGATATGACATTATCTGTATTGTATGTATTCTATAAAACGGAGTAAAATGTATGGGAAAGCATAGGAAATGGTTTTGGATTTCAGGTTTGTATGATTATAAACGGGATATTCTATTAAACGGTACGATATTAAGTGGGACCCACTGTACTGTGTTCAAGGAGCATAAATTGGAAGAATCCAGGAGTAGAAATATTTGAGCATAATTTCCTCAGCCCTACCCGCAGCGCGATTGAAAAACCCCGAAAATGGGCGCGTACAACTACTAAAATTCAACTAGGCGATTACACCCCGCGCAGTTATGCAGAGTAGCACTTGAAAGTCTTTAAGGCCAGTAGGGGATTTCCCAACAGGGAGGGCTTTGAAACGTGAGTAGTTTTTTCCAGCCAGAAAGCTCATAAGCACAATGTTTGAATATTACCCTGTGGGAAACACTGCCTTAGTTACTTTGCTACAGGCACAATTACATACCTCTACTCTACATTGTTCAAACTGTGACTAACAACTCCATTGATTCGCACCGAGGGTTTGCACTTTAGTGCTTTGAATTTTTTATTTTTCTGAGCGCGTATCATGTGGACTGCACCGGCAGTTATACCAGGCAGAGCTAGGTTGAAAGAGATCACACAGTATTCTGTCCAGCTCTCACGAGAAATGAGCAAGCTCGCCTACGTTGTAAGCGCTACACATTTATGCATTATGAGCTTGATCTATTTAGGCCACAAACAATGCAAAAGAGCCGGGACAAAAGAGGCAGTTGTAGGATTCGAACTGTAACAGCTGGTACCTACATTCATGTGTCACTATCATTGTATTGTTGTACACGCTACACCACAGCATTCACCACACTAATCTATTGATTCATTCACACCTTGGTCTGTATATACCTCACTGCCTATAAATGCTCAACCATGCTACTAGGGGGCACCGACCACGAAAGCTACAGAACTAACGACTTTCGGTGCACAAATGCATTACCTTACCATCTCAGCCAACCAGCATGTAAAGCTTGACCTGGCTCCTCTGAATAACTTTTAAAACACTAACACCATTGGAATCTTCGGCAATAAAGACTTATCAGTCAAAAGTTAGTTGTATGTCTGATAAGAAAACTATGAGTATGTGGTTCCTGTATAAACAATAGACTTTAGGCCCTCTCTCCCTGAACGTGATTTTCCCCACGTACGTTTTTAAATGCATGCAGTGAAGAGAGGAGAGAGAGTCAAGCAGATGA